GCGTCCGTGTCCGCTCCGGCCGCGGCCGCCCTGAAGCCGCATGTCCCGCGCGCCGCCGCGCCCGTCCACGGAAGCTCCACGGCCCTGGAGATCGCACGCATGGTGTCCGACTTCCTGGGCCCGCTGTACCCGCGGCGCGAGTCGGTTGGCGCCACGCTGAGCGGGCTGCGCACGCGCCTCGAGACGAGCGCGGCGACGTTCGACAAGGACCGCGAGACCCTCATCTGGCAGACGCGCGAGGCCATCCGCACCGAGTTCTTCAAGGTCATCTACCCTTCCCCCCCGACCGCCATGCTGCTCTCGCTCGTCACGCGCACCGAGATCCTGCTCACGGGATACAACCAGAAGACCCGCCCGTTCTTCTTCCCCGGCGCGCGCGTCACCGTCCCGACCGAAGGCGGGTCGAGACGCGCCGGCACCACGCTGCAACTACGCTTCAAAACTATCAACGACACTACCGTCACCGAGGCCCTGCTCCATCTCGACGGGCCGAATGGCGGCGGCTTTCAGTGGGTCCAGACCCCGGCCTTGACCCCGCTCATACGGTATGTGCCGCCCGTCCCGTCCGCGTCTCTTGTGCGGCGCACGCCGCCACTGAAATCCGTGGCCGCACGAGCGAAACGCCCCTCCAAGAACGGCGCGAAGACCCCGCGCATTCGCGCTCCGCGCCCGAGCGCCGCCGCAAAGAAAAAGCTCGCGGCCGCCAAGGCTGCCACCATTAAGCCCGCCGCCGCTCCGTCTCTCACTCCCGTGGTTACGCAACCGAAGAAAACGGCAGAACTGCCTCAAATCCCGCCGCGCCCGCCCTCGCCGCCGTCTGGCCCTGTCGCGCTACCCCCGGCATTCTTGCCGGAACCCTTGCTATCGACCTCTCCGCCGCCCAGAAAACGACTGCGTATGGGCCTGGAAATGCCTGTCGCACATACAGCAGGGTCGCTACGACGCGCTCTGGAGCTGGATACGGACGCCAGCCAAATGCAACGTAATTCTATCTCCTGCGTGCGCAGACTCATTGGCATCGAACGCCTTGTAGCACGAAGGCAAGTTTCGCGAACTGGAGACGTGGAATATTTCGTCAAGTGGAGTGGCCGTGGAATGAGGGAAGGCTCGTGGGAGCGGCGAGATGCGCTACTGCTGGACGTGCCAGCCCTCGTACTCGAATTCGATACGAGGCATCCGGACAACCCCAAGCGAGTTTGTCATTCAGAGCGAAGGACCACCCCGAAGGAGCAGATGGGGACAACTACACCAAGCCCTGAAGATCGAACTGCGGCTGTTGAGGTGAGGATGGAGAAGAAGGGAGAGGTAGGGGTAACAAGCGCAGGTGTGAAAACGGAAGACACAGATGTGAAAATGACAGAGGGTGAAGATTCAGAATCTGGTCGAAAGTTTGTCGATGATATTTCTGGTGTTGAAATACCAGGATACGTCGACAGCCCCATTTTGGAGTTGGGATTCGCTGGGATGGTGCTGCACATACGGCAATCGAGAGAATATTCTTTGCATAATGATGCGCTGGCAGTTATTCGCGACTACAAGAAGAGACAATCTCGGTTCAAACAGGAAAACATTCGATCAGCGGAAAAACTATTTCTGCTCACGAAATCAGAAGCTAGGATGGCTCTGGATGCGTCACTGCGGTCACACAAGATCCACAACCGATATCCCATACCTTTTCCGAGGGGTCTCGGTCGGGCGGTGCCTTTGGATACAGGCGTGCCTTTCAGCAAAGATGTAGTTTCTATGGGACCTCCGTCGTTGGAATCGTATCTAATTGGTCTGGGGTTAAGGCCCAAGCATTTTGAGAGGGACCTGCCACCACTGATGCCAACGCTGGACGCGAAGACTCGCCGACGTGTTGCGATATCTGCTAGAGATGCATCATTCGAGCGGGCGACGGAGCATCGGGAACGGGCGAGGCTTCTGCTTCGAAATGCTTATCGGCACGGAAATAACGCGAACGCGCCTTCTATGCTATTTCGAGAAGGCAAAAGACGGCCTGCCGAGTGTGACAGCTGTTTCGCAACGAATGGCAACGCATTAGGCTCCAAGGCAAAAAGTCCAAGGTTGCCCGAACCGCTAATTAAGCGAGAGCCTCCTCTAATAGCTGCTCTTACTGCAGCTAAAGCACGAGTAGCTGAGCGGGCGAGCAACAAGGAGAAGAAGGAAGGATGGTTTGACCCAATCTGGAACTGCTGGCGCATTGGTGAGGGGCCGTCTGTGCAGTGATCAAAAACTGGGAGGCGTCATGCAACTACTTTGAGGGTAGTGTAAGTCGATAGTAAAAACGAAGAACATGAATAGGCCTTTGTAATTGAATATTGCACTGCAGGACTGCGCCTCACTTGAGTTGAGGGTACAGCACTGGGAAGCTCGCATGCTGACAAGGTTGGTGTAAGGTCATTGTTGCGCATGTGGGAAATTATATAGGAGCTGATCAGCGTTGGAAAAACGCTTCATATAAGACCGACAGACCGTTTTGTTGCATTGGAGGTCAAGGGCCAGTAAAATGGTTTGTTTTGTCATGCAATGACGGAGAGGATGGTACATGCCTTGGAAGCAGCGTGAGAAAATGAAGTGATGAAGGATTATTTATTCAGTGGGGCTGGAGGTTTCAGGAGCCATCATATCCGGGTTGTCCATTGAAGAGAGAGTTTATTGGATATGAGGGGGGTTTAAAGAGATAGAGCGAGAGAGAGAGAGCAAGAGAGAGAGCGAGGGAGAGAGAGAGATGGGAGCAGAGCATGCCAGTGGCGGGGGCAACTCGTGGCATGTCTCGACGCATGAACAGACAATCCTTGTTCCCGCGGCAGTATTGGACTGAAACCAGACTGGCAGCAGGGAGTTTTTCGGGCGGTAGCAGGAGGTGACCCGTGCGCTGACATAGAATTGCATTGGGGCATGACAGCACACCCGTGGGGTGAACCACAAGCGAGCGAAGGTTGTGCCGAAGTAAAAGACTGAGGATGTCGGATGGGGGCACGACCGAGGTGTTAATCTTTAAAAAAGGGGGAATGTTTGGAGGTTATTTAGTGCAAATAGCCGGCACTAACAAGTAAGGCAGTTTGTGCTTTGATTAGAAACCGTCACGTCAGAGGTACATGCACCACGTTAGCGGGTGATGTGTAGGGTGGCTGGACAGAGTAAATTATATCGATAAGCACAGGCGGGCGGTTTGAAGAGATATATACTGTACAGTAGTGTAGTGTATGGGTAGGCGGCTGGATCCGCTCTCCGGCGGGGAGTTCCATGAATAGTGGAAAGCGTGACTGTGGCAAAATCTGACAGCGGAGATGTCGGTAGACGGCAGGAGAACCAAACATCCTGGGGGAGCGAGATGAGTTCGGCGGGCAACTTAAGCGTCTCTTCGGCCGTTGAGCCAATGGTGCGGCGAGGCATCGTTGATGGTTGCGGTGATGTTTTATAGATTAAAAGGCAAGTATGAAG